GGAGGAGGAGGAGGAGGAAGAGGAGGAGGAGGCCAGCCCCTCGACGGTGATCCCCGTCGAGTCTGACTCGTCGGACTAGGGTGACTCGAAGGAGGAGGATGAGGGGTGCGACGACTCGGATAAGGACGAGTTCTGGGAGCAGTTCAGGAGCTCCGACGAGGAGTAGTTTCATCTTCAAATTGTAGTAGTGTGAACTAGTAGTAGTCATTAGAGTAGCAGATTGATGGAAGTAGTAGTTTGAACTAGTAGTAATCCTTCAAATTAGAATTTTGTTTAATTATGAACTATGTTTAGTTATGTTTGAAATAAACTAGTAGAACGTATGTCTGAATTATATGTTTGAAACGAAGTCGTATTTGAAGTTTCTAATTTTTTACATCTTCAGTTTACATAACCTATTGGAGTTACATTTTTACATCTTCGTTTTGTATTATTTGTTGGAGGTAGCCTTTTTCTGAAGATGCAAAAAAATATTTTTTAAAGATGTAGTAAATTTTTACATCTCCAATTTTGCATATTCAATTGAAGATGCTCTAAGGCCTTGTACAATGGAAGATGCTTAGGGATGTGCTTAAAAAAATAAATCGAATTTTTCTAAAGCACCAGTATCTATTTTTATAGAAGAGACGTTTAGTTAAGCGTCTACCATGTACAAATAAGTATCAGTACTTAAAAAAAATCTAATTTATTTCTTTAAACACCTCACCTAAGCATCTCTCGTTGTACGAGGCCTAAGGGTCAAATTAGACAATCTCGGTTGGAGATGCTCAGACCGCGCCGCCGGAACCCTTCCACACGCCGAAGCTCCTCCTCAGCCCGTCTGCTTGACTGGCGCGGAGTGGAGGGCAGATCCATCCGGGCCGACGATTTTAGGAGCTTCGAGGATGAGGAGCTGGGCTAATCGCCCCCACTCATCCCTTCTCGCCTCTTTCCTCGCGGCCTCTTGCCTTCTCGTGGCCGGATCACCTCAGGTACATCTCTATCACTGTTACCCCCTCTCCTCTGTTGCTGGATTCTGGATTTGTACGCGCAATTCTTGCTTCGCTAGCTGTTACAATGCAAATGGGTACTTATTTCGTGTAAAATCAATCTTTAAGCCGCTCAGATTTAGCAAGTTAGGAATTTTGGGGTGAAATCTAGAGCTTTGTTCTGTATTTCTGTGCGGCCTGCGAACCCTAGTATTTCGTACTACAGAGTACAGACCATGTCACTAGTGTGAGGCATGTTGTTCGTTCTGGACGCTCCTCAGCAAGGTCCAAGCCATCTTTGTATCGTTCGAGTGATTGTTATGTCGGTCCTTGCAAGAATCTTTGCTGCTCTTTGGGTTCGGAGGCTCAACGCAATGAACACATGCTTGTATAACTTGTTTTGCATGAAGAATTTGCTTTGTGACATGTGGAACGCTTGCAATTGACAATTTGTTAAATCAATAGGGGTGGTCCAAATCTTATGCAAGGCAAAAGCTAGTTTCAACTGAATGTTACACCCTTAGGGTTCTATGTATACGAACTTGCTGAAAATTTTGTCTGGAGATGTCATCATCTTTACGAATATTCAGATATTAAAGATGTAAGCATGCCATAGCCTACCCAAAGACACACGTTTACTGTTAGACTTACCAGTTGTCTTTGATGTTAAGGTGAATATCCGATTTCCCTGGTCTGGCTAATTTGGATTTTTTTTTATGATCTAGGAATTGCATGAAGCATCTGGATCCAGGTACTATACTTAAGCTTGCAAACCAGTTGCTACAGGTGAAATTACGACAACGTTTTATTCCGGGCATGCCACACAAGATATGTTGCTCATGTTTTTCTCTGTGTCCATGGCAATACAAATAAGGTCCTCACCCGGATCTTTCTTAAGTAAGTCATTACCTATAACCTGTTAGAGCTTCTCTAAGGAGGAGTACCCGTGGCCAGGAGACACCAGAGGGCTGACCAGACGTCAATGAGGAGGCCCTGTAACTGGCACAGATCATAAGATAACAGGGGTATATGTCATCATTTATGGAAAACTATTGATAACTTGTTTGTACATGATCTCGTAGCCTTGTAATATGCAAGACATATACCTAACATATGGAAACTAAGCACACTCATATGCTCCTAACTGGTCTGTTAACTTGACACAAGAAACTACTCGAACTTGACCAACTTAACTTTATACCACTCTAGATGATCCAGATACTTCTCTTATTCTGATCCAAAAGGCAAGGGGCCTAATGGCTCCTTTGCTGCATCCTTTTCCTGCTACTGGCTGGGCCCTGTGGGCCAGCGGTAAGGAATTTCCCACATAACATAATCTTAACACAGGAACACTATAGACAGACTTGTCGACTTGTGGGATGTTAAAATGTTCTATGTAGAATCTTGGGACACAATACTGAAGAGTTGTGTGCTTTCACTTGATGCCAGAATTCTTCATCAAACAAAGCCACACACACATGAGGTGCATTGTTCAAGGGAAAGGAGCCGTGCAGCTTGGAAAGCTGTTGATGAGGTAGGACATGCAATGTGATTGCTCACTGCATTGGTGCATTCATAATGACATTGCAGGTTAAACACTCTCTTTATGCAGTACTTGATGCCCTTTGTGGAGAAGGAGAAATATGAACTCCCAAGCAAATGCAGGCTTCGTCCTGAAAACGACATGTTTCGGGAACAAGAGCAACATAAGATCCATTTTGATGTTAATGAGTGGCGTTGTGGCTTCTGCAAGAAATCATTTCGAGCAGAAAAATTTATCGATCAGCATTTTGCAAACCGGCACAATAATTTGTTGGATAATGTACGTTCTCACTTTCTATTATCATTGCGCCCATTTATCAATTCCTTAAACAAGTAAATCTGGTACATATATGTTTACTTAGTAACAATTTTATATAGCCTGTGCAGTTTTCAGCACAAGTATAATGTTCCCCTTTTTACGTCTGTTGTTTTCGTTCATCGAAAAAACAGATGCAATGCCAAATAAGATGAATTCTATGACATTTCTTGGCCATGCACTTGATGTTCTCATATTAACAAGTTAACTTGTTTGATATATGTTGGTGAATTACCAACCTTAGTTCAAAGCTGCGACACTTTTTTTGGATCGGAGGGAGTATTGTTTAGAGTCATGAAATGCTAAATCTTGAATTGTTTCCTTAGACTCAAGGAAGATGCTTGGCAGATCTTTGTGGAGCACTTCACTGTGATCTGACAATGGAGTTCAAGAAACCAAAAAGTAAATGCAATGCTGCTGCAGCTGCAAGGAACCGTCATCTTTGTGAGGTTCTTATTATTTTGTTTGAACTGCCCTAAATATCTTTGTTTGGTCAGTTTTGTGCTACTCTTGTAGGCTCGTTGCATCTTTTTACCAATGGAAAAGCTAGTAAAATTTGGTTGTAGTACCTGCCTGAACGTAAACACTAGAAGATGATCATGACATATTATGAGAACTATAAAAGATTGCCACATATTTCCTTGGCTTTGTTAATTTTGTTGGTATTTGGTTGAAAAATAATAGATGCAATATATGCCTATATAGATAGCATTTACAGCTGTATTTACAATGGCAATATTGAACTCCCTTTTACTTCTGCTAACAGAACCTTGCGGACAGTTGCTTTCCTATTAATCAAGGGCATTCTGCCAGCCGACTTCATGGTGAGTGCTGGTTTAATGCAATGATCCTGTATTCATAGTTCTCCCAGGTGGGCTTCTTGCTGATACAGCTGTTTTGCAGAATTTTTCTTGCGCCAATTCTGTGATGCTCATACTTGCAATGGGGGCTCCAAACCTTTCCCCAAAGGTGGCAGGGTGAGCTATTTTTAACCTATTTTTTTTTGTTTCGAGTCTTAATTTTGAGCTCTATTAAGCTTCATCATCTGATAACGTTTTATAAAGTTGTTTTATGCAGAGCTTGTTGTTGTGTTATTAAGCTTTAAGATTTCTTTCATAAGATAAAATTGTTCATTTTCGTATGCCATAAACCTTCAGGTTATTATGTTGTATAATTTTTTGAATGTCTTTAATCTACATTGCTTTCACTGCAATTTGAGATTCTTAAACTATAGCATAACATTACACATTGAACATGTTTTTTGTCGATGAAAAAAAAATCCATTTGCATTTGAACAAAACAATTCGCTTCTGTCTTTATAAGCAGAAAAATGGAAACCTTCCGACTTAGTGTTAACTTTTACCCCATTGTGCAGAAACAAACAAACAGATTCTACCTGGCTCTCTGCATCTTGACAATGCTGCTTTTGCCTGTGTTCTATCTCATAGTATTTTTACACCAGAGGTTTGTGGCATTTACTTTTATGTATAGGACCCTTTGTTAATACCTTGGGAAATTTCCAGCACTGTATCTCATATTTGTTGTGCAGGGAAATGAAGAAAGGAGATCAAGTTTTCAAACGAATCGGAAAAACCGTGCACAAGAAAAAGCCGTCCTAGTTGTAAGATCCCTCGCTATCCATTACCCAAGCTCCTAGAGATGAACCCACCATTTTGCTCTTGGTGTCAATTAGCTATGCATGTCATGTTGTCTCTTCATATGTCTCTCTTCCCTTCTCCTTCATGACTGAAGTTCCTTCAACATATATATTGTTTGGATCGTCATTTACGTTCAAGCAAAATGTGTTTGTGTTACCCCAGAAGCGGACTACTGCTTTGGCCTAATTTCATTCATGAACCTTTTCGTGATGCCTGCCTCTGCTTGTTCTGCAGCCCCGCACGGATACACAAGATCCAACAAGCAGTCATGTGTAATTTTTGAGAGGTTACAGAACATATCCTTTGATGTAAACCGAAACATTGTTGACCGCGACAAATTGCTCCTGGAACTTGGTGCTTACATGACTGTACAGCCAATCTAATGTCAGGAGACTGTTGTACTATATTCAAGGATGGGAAAGGTTAAAGCTATCTAAGTATTGTTGGTGTTACTGGGGCTGTAGATTGTGGGGTAGCAACATTTACTTTATCTGAGATGCTATCTATGGTTTTCATAAGAATGTTTAGAGGCCCATTGATTTGGTTTGATGCTCCTATTTCTCGAAAGAGGCTTTCGTCCTGCTTTATTTAAATCCAGCCAAACGGCGGACTGATACCAGGTGCTGAGGGAACCCTCATACAAGCCGGTTAAAGAAAAACATGACAAGACACCCTTTCAAAAAAAAAAAAGACAACACACGCCAAGCAAGACCAACAGAACACCAGAAATGTCATGTTGGACGCCGCCAATGTGCCGTCAAAACAGAATTAGTAGCCGAATCATCACAGCTAAAAGAAACCAATGAATTGACACCCAACGAATGGCCCCCGTGTGTGCTTGGGCCTGGCCTGATCCCTGACCTTTTCCATCGCTAACGGGAGTTTAGGTTGTGTCTTCCCGCTGGCGTGTTCTACACCATGTCGTGTGGTTGCTTGCCACGACCACTTCCAAGCCGCGACATGTGGCTGCTAGACGCACTGCTTGCTTGTTGTGGAGGCCGATAATCGACGGTGGCGGATCTGGCGAAAGCGTCGCTGATAAGCTGGGATCGGGTTTTCTTTGGCCCTTGGGCACTTTATCGTTAGTGTTTGTTGTGGGGAAGTTGTCGGCTCTGGTCTGTTGGAAATATTCCTAGTGGCAAATAATGTGATGATGTTTGTTTCCTTATGTATTCATGAATTATTTGTATTGTCCTTGAACATCATCATTGGTATGTATCAATAAGTATGTGACTTATTTATGAGATATATATTGTATGATGATTGTTCTAATGGACCCTAGTTGATAAGGTTATGAGGAGACGTACCTTTTGACTAGTATACGATTTGGTT